AGATTGCTGAAAAATACAACCTTTCACGATCAGCTCAAGTGAAAACTACAGCTGTACTCACATTTGTTTAGTGTTTGAGCCAGTCTTTGTTTCCTTTGCGTTTCAGGCAGAAGAGATAACTTTAACTATCGGCCAAGCCTTTGATTTGGCCTACAAGAAGTTCTTGGAGTCTGGAGGCAAAGACGTCGAGACCAGGAAACAGATTGGAAGCCTGCAGAAACGAGTGCGTCTCCCATCCAGCTCGCGGAGCTCGTTCGCTCACACACACACACTCTTGACAGCGTGTACCACCGTGCAGATGCATTGATGTTTTTATTAATTAATGCGGAGCTTGTTTCTATTGATTGTCTTAAATCATCCAGTGTGGACAATTAAGCTGTGCTGATAAAAGGAAAAAAAACTGTTAATGAATATTAATGACGCAGACTTCTGTTGTAACAGAGCCAGCCTGTAATCAAATTATTGTACGCCCAGCTGAAAACACGGAGCCGTCCCATGGGAAGTGTTTAAAATTAGATTTGTTCAGATATTCATATAAATTTGATCAAATTGGGGACGTGATGTTTTAGCTAAACACCAGCCTCACGTGTACTTGAACCTCAGTTGGAAGACGGTGGTTAAGCAGACGTGTATTCAAGTGTGTTAAACAGTACAGCCAACTCAGCAGTTTATGAACATGTACACAGACATGCAGACACAGAGACACGTTAAAGGTTAATGATTATTGAGTTCAAATTGTTCAGCATGAATAAACATCTGCTGATAAAGACCTTGTGATAGAAGCAAAGGTCCAGAAATAGCTACTGAGCAGAGCTTGGCAAGGATCTACCGTTTATTTTGATTTAATCCCAAAAATCACTTCTGCTGCCCCCTGCTGGTAATACTCAGCAAAGCAGCATGTGTGTTCTAATATATGACTAAACAATAGTTGTACTATTTTCTCCCGTTTCAGTAACATTTGTGAAACACTATCTAACCCTACAGGAAACAACAAAACTAGTCTTTTTGTCGGCTGTTTTAAAGGTGTTTTCAAATTAACTTTCATTTTTGCATATTTTGTCGATAATTTTAGTTATGACGTCATGGCAGATTTCTGTGTATTTTGTTGATATGCACTGACGTTAGCTTGCTAACTAGCCATTGCTATCCTATACCTTTGTGGCTTAAAGCTGTGTGGAGTTGGTTACTTATCAACTTGTCTGATGAGTTCACAGACGTCATAGGTTTTTCTTGATTATTATAATCTCAATGTTTCAGCAAAGTCTCAGGAAAGATTTGTTGAATATCAATGCCTTTTAGTATCTCATTGTTGACCGCGACAGCCTAATTACTTAATAACAGTTAGTTTTTAGCATTGTGCTAAAGTACAGTGTTTTGTCATTTGTGTCGAATTCTGTTAAAAAAAAAAAAAAAGACGTGTGAGCAGTTCGAACGTGATTCTGTATCATAAGCAAATTACACAAATTGCACTATGACATCAAATATTTTTCTGCACTCTGCTGCTTCCCTGTGTCCTGATTCGGTTTGTATCTTTTGCAGATTCAAGAACTGGAAACGGAAAACTCTGAGCTAAAGAAACAACTGCAAGAGCTTGAAGAACAGCTGATGATAGCACACGTACCTCCAGTAAGAACAAACTGCGTAGCATGCCAACCTTCAGTTTAGAAAAGTCGATTTTACAGAAGAAAATGAGACCTTAGACTTTAATTTTGCTCCTTTTCAACAGCAGTTACTGCAGCCACGGGGAACAATAGAGTGACTGCATTACAATATCCAATATCTGCAATATCCATCTAAAACTACCTGAATTGTCTGTTATACCAGCTGAATTGTTGAGTTGTACAAAATTCCTTTTGTTCCTTTTGAGATGTTTAATTCAAAGACTTTCATTATGTACGAAACAGCTGACTAATGTAATAGCACTCTTTAATAACATAATCTGTGATTCGAGCATTCTGAATGAGCCAGAAGTGCACAACCTAAACCGTCGTTTAATTCTAAAAGATTCCTGAATTTAAACCGTTGAGTTTTAAAAGTACTTTTAAGGACAGCTGGCTTTGCTGATTGTGTTTGTGCGATTAAATGCACGACTCCGGTTTGGAATGACCAGGCCTATCTGGAGGCAGGCAGCAGGGGTCTGTATCTGAAGCAAAGCAATTACACACCTGATTGGTCTGATGAGGAATGCGATACATTCGGCATCTAATTGGGGCAAATGCCAGCACTTGTGACAGCCTCCTGAGAATGCAATTACCCACAGCTCCCCTATTCTACAACACTGAATAATATTGTCTCTGTCTCTCTCTTTCTGGTCATTTCCTGTCTGCGATCTTTTTCTCAGCCGCTGCACATAAACGCGGCTAATGAAGCGTACATGCTGCAGAGGCCGTCCTCTCTCTTCTGGTGCCACAGCATCAAGTCGCTCTCCTGTCTGGAAATCTCCTCTGTCACTCTCACTCCTATGAGCTCACCGGAGTCCAACTTGTCCACCGGGCTACTAACTCCTCCGCCTGCCAAACCCGCTCTCCTTCCTCCTAAACTCGACGAGGGCTGCAGCATCCCGCGGCCTCGCGTAAACACCCTCCGCTTCTCTTTTTCTGTGCTGTCTCTCTGTCCCCGGAGCCTTGTTATCTCCTGCCTTTGTCTGTGTGGTGCTTGTGCTTCTTCTTCTTCCCTTGCTTTGATGCAAAAAAACAGAAAGAGAAAAATAGCTGTGTAGTTTGTGCATGGGTGAACTTACAGGTCTCTGCCGGTGGCTCAACCATTACTTTGTATGCAGGCGGGGAGTATCTCAATGAAGCCGCAGTCGACAGACATTTTTGACATGGTTCCCTTCTCCCCTGTGACACCCCTGGTGCCCACACCAGCCAGCAACGGCTGCCCACCCCCTCCACCCACCACATTGCCACCAGATATAAGTAAGTGAAAAACCTATTTACATTTCGGTGTTTTAACCCCTCCCACCCTCGATGTGCCTCCTTGATCATTACAGTGTTGATCTGCTCTGTGCATGTAGGTAAAGATTTGTTTGGTGCAGAGCCGTTTGATCCGTTCACCTGCGGGGCAGCTGACTTCCCTCCAGACATCCAGTCAAAGCTGGATGAGATGCAGGTGAGCTCATCGCTGTGTCTCTTTCAGAAGAATTGCAGGCAGGCTGCTTAAACTGTGAAACTGTTTTGTTCTTTTTATTATCACAACCATTACTTTGAAGATTAAAGATTTTCCCCTTGCCTTCGTAAATAAAGGCTTTGCGCATCACAAGCGACGCCTCAGCTGAACCGAGTAACAAACTCCAGTTGTCTAACAGCAGTGCACACCGCTGTAATTGCCTCCACATCAGTTCCACCATACAGTACACACTTTATTAAAATCAATAATGTTTGAGCAGAAAAATGCAGTCGCACAGCAATAGAAACAATTTGTGTGGAATTATCTAATGAGGAACGGTTTAGTGACTCATCGATGGGTAAGAGTAGCTCCTTTATTTATTTTAATCAGAGGACAGAACCACTAATGTGTTCATAAAGGAGTGTGTTAATTAAAAGTGTTTAGTGTATCACTCTGATGTGTTTTCCTGCCTGCATGAAAATGTCGTGATATTACAGCAGAGCAAGTTCAAGCAATTGTTGTTGTTGGGATGGAGCCATAAATTAATATTGTAGTCAGATCTGTAATAAAAAAAACAATGGTGCATATTAGAAATAAACTTTTGCTTTCAGACTGCGTCTCAAACCTTTGTGCAGATTGCCAAAAACTGAGAGAACTAAAGGAGCTTGTATTCAGTCATTTAATCCAAAGCGATAAATCGGGATTTGAATATATGATGTCATGTATAAGATAACAATAACTTTTTTTTGTTAAGTGTGTGAATTTATCTTACACCCACTGTAACTGATTTGTGTTAACAGACAAATGCACGTTCTTGTTAAAGGTCAGTGAGTGCAGAAGTGGAATTAAGTGGATCCATCGTTTCCTAACAAACTACAAAAGTGATCCTGAAATAGTTTCCTTTAGTCGGTGGTATTTATTCGCAGGGCTTCCTGTCCTGTAATTGGTAATTATTAGAAACGCACCTCGCAGCCTTGTTAACAGATGAGATTAATTAAGTAGATTTGTAGCGGTGCTTTTTTTCTGTTTGCAATAGTAGGACATGGAAAAAAAGCTGCTGTAGCTTCTGTTTTCATGCTGTCACACAGTTATCAGTGTGGTTACACCACGTTCACATAAATCTGTAAAAACCGCCTGAAAATGACAACGTTTGCTTTAAAAAGTTGTGACTTCAAAACTGCAACATCCAAGGTTCAGTTTGGAAAACACCTGTTGAGCTTTGGCAGCGTGTCGCCAGTAGGAGGCAGCGTTGCTCTGATGTTTCTCTCCTCCCTGTTCTTTCTCTTCTTAATGACTAACAGCTGAACGTATCTGTTTCCCTCTCTCACTCGTAGCGGCAGAGATGGTTCGTAGTCCTTTGCCCTCTGCTTGTGCTGTTGTGTTTTCGTCTTGCACGCTCTGAATGCAGCTGCACGCGCTCACATTTGCAGACTGCGCCGACGCTGCCAGTGCATCTGTGGCAGCTTCATTAGCTCGGCTTTCTTCATGACTTACTCTGTGTCTTTTTGATTAACAAGAACAAATACGCACTGCTTAAGCTTGAAAATATTTGTTTTGCACATAAACAATGTTGGGGGTGCATGCCGGCCTCATTTGCAAAATAAGCTCGACTTACTTTGATCTGCTATAATTGAGTTTTCCCATTAGGATTCATGCCTTGCCGTTTCTGATCTTGTCTAAAATGCATGACCCAGCATGATGCGATGTCAGTGGCATCTAGCTCGTCTTTGCCTCTGAGGTTTTTCCAGCGGGCCTGAGTGTCTATAAAAGCGGCCCTGTGTGGCTTCATGTCTTCCAGGAGGGGTTCAAAATGGGACTAACCTTAGAGGGCACCGTCTTCTCTCTGGACCCGCTAGACAGTCGCTGCTGATGCTGAGAAGATGAACCCTTCGAGGTGCACTTTCAACCCGTTTGTATGAAGAAGAAGTGCCAAAATCCACTCCACGGTTGAGTCAAGATGTCACAGTTGTCATCTTGAGGTTTATATGCATTTGCATTTAGATTGGTTTTCGATATTTCAAGGTAAACTCAGATCCATTATAGTAAAGAGCTATTTTTGTAATAAAAAAAAGACAAAAAATGCGTATGGAGGTGTTAGTTTTGAGTACCTTTGCTTGCACAGGAGGAGACAGATGTAAATAGTCGATATGTTCAATGGTACACTCTGTGGCAGAATTTTCATATGTGTGTATGCACCGTTTGAATTCTGTATTGTCAACACATTCCTGTTTGTATGCCAAACACAAGCTGGCAAGAAAAATAAATGGAATCTATATTGTGACAAAACCTTTGAGCTTTTAACATCACATATTTTACTCCACATTAATTCATACGTTATGTAGTTGATTAATCCAGCCTGATATTTTCTTTTGTTTTTTTTACTTCAGTGACCTTTCCGCTCTTTGTCCTTTGTTCTGTTCAGATTTTGACCAGATTGAGTTGCCATTTCGGTGTTTACCTTTCATTTTCTGCTCTTTTATCTCTGTCCAGCCAGTTCTATTCCTGTTATTTCACTTTCTGTTGAATTGACTTTGCTGTTACAGATATTAAAGAAAATCCTACTATGAAACCTGCCCCTCACTCATTCTTCTGTGTTTATATAATTTATGTCTGACTTTATTTGTTCATTTGTTTATGAAACATTTTCTTCTAGTGGCAGAATGATTAGAATGCTGTAGGCTCGGCTAAAGCACAATGACGCCCTTGAATTTTTCCGAGTGCCATCACAACATTTTGTGTGCGATTGCCATCAGCTTACAAAAGGGAAACATGAAAAAAACTGGACGTCCTGTTAGCAATAGGAAGTACAGAGTCCATATGTTTACATGCCACTGCTCTCGATTCTTCAATATCAAAGCCTCTTTTAGCCAATATGCCTTTGTGACTTTTAAGTACATATAATGAACTTTTAAGATTTAAGAGTTAAGATTTATGTCTGTAACAGCGGTATTGTACATGGTAGCTGCAGTTAGCGTGGTTAGCTTTCTGCAGCGTGTGTAATACTGCTGTACTAATGCAACTAAATATATTGACGTTTTCTCAGGATAGTAAGTTAATATTGATAGCATCTCCTCCTCCACAGAACCAAGCTCATTAATGCTGCTCAGCGAAAGCTTTAACTGATGCAGAAGTTGGGGGTTGTTGTGGAACTGTGCTTAGCTTGCAGGTGTCTCTTCACATGTGCAGTAGAGGTCTTAAAAGCTGATGTAACGTAATCACATTGATTACATGTTGTTCTCGTCTTTTTCACTCACTAATACAGGATGTGTCATTTGGCTAGTTAAAGTGCAAATGCACACTAACAGCAAGGATTTGATCCCTTCTCTTGCTGAAGTCACAGCGGCCACAGACTGTGGCATTACAAAAATGATTTCGACCGTGTGCAATGAACTTACACTCTCAATGCCTTTGATATGGTTGCTTCAAAGACTGGTATCAGGTCTGTGGCCACCTGCAGTTAGTTGTCAGAGATAAGACTGCTGATGCCTTTTGTCTGCTGTCAATATTGAATATGGCAATTTCATCCAATCTGCTTGGGATAGTACGGCAATTAATTATGATAAATTGTGAAAACTGCAAATCTGCAAATTGCCATCTGCATACAGAGATTCACATTAATTACTTCTAGTAAGAGTCCAGCCAGAAATCTGAATGGGTAGATTTTAAACAGAAGTTCCTCCACAAATAGTGGTGTAGTTGCTGCAGAACAGCATGTTAATTGCAAAAATGACAGAGGCATTTGGCAACCTTGCTTTTAATCACCTTGCTTTTGCCCAATAATCAGACCCAACAAATATAACCCCCCCCCAGATGATTTTATTTATTTAGACAGAGATCCCCTCCCCCCATGTTCAGCACAAAGTTACGCCGATATTTGCCTCCCACCAGGACACCTGTGCAATCGCCTTGTGGTCACCCAAAAGCTTGACATTGCACAATGAATGAACCTCTGGGCAAGTAGCTGATCACTCCAACTACCTGAAATTCATCATAAATACAAAAACACTCAATGCAAACACCGAACAACCCAGTATCTCTCCTACTTTACTCTAGTGTGACTGAGTTGAAACCAAAGAAATAGACCAAAAATAAAGAAACTTGAATTTAGCAATAAATGTGTTGTTACTTTCTAACACTTTACCCTAAACACCTTTTATGTTCATCATATGTTTTCACCATAAAATGCTTTCTGTCATTTCCTCATATTTAAGATTCACCTTAACCACTGGGGTGCTTAAGTACATCGCCACAGGCAGGGAGAGAGT